TCCTTTTATTGTATCTTACAACATGTTTTATTTAGATATTATTTAATATATCTGCAAAGACCTCTAGGGCAGAAAACAGTAGACCACTTGTTTAGGAGGAACCCTACGCCAAGCACCGAGACCCAACAATAATTACTAGTTCAAACATAAACCCTAAACTTAAAACCATCATAGCAAGGAGTTCAGAACAAGTAGTAAGCGGAGGGAGGAAAATTTCAGATGACAATCAAAACTCAACAATGAAGCAGATCTACTTCAACAAAACTTTTCTTTAGTTTTAAACAACATAAACCCTTAGGACTTCGAGGTTGTTCGTTTAACACAGTATAAATCTTCTCTTCATCTTTAGGCCTTTGCACAACTGTGTTGTGCAATATAAGTCCTAACTCTTTTAAGATTCTAAGATTGTTCGTTTGGTATGAAGTAAGCCCTCTTATTTTCTTAAGCTATTTTTATGACTGTGTTATGCAAATATAAGCTTTAATTCTAAATATATGACACAAGTAAATGCCAAAGAACTTCACTTTTAAGATGTAAAGTCAAACAATTGGATAATTTGGGAGATCATTGAGATTTGCCTCAGAGTCTGCAACAACCCCTACCTTTCGCTCTTTTGACTCCGATAATAATTGTTCCTATTTGGTCCATTCCCACTTAATTTTTCTTACAAACAATCGTGAAAACTCAACTTTGAATTCTTGGAGATGAAACATTTGTTCATTATCGAGAGTTTTCTTAAGTGATTTCCTTAAGTGATTTCGATGTAATTAACCATAGGGGCTTGCCCTTATAAAAAATTAGGAACTCAGATAATATAAACTCTATCTAATATTTATACTAGGTAGGACAATTATATGTCACAAAATTCACAGACTAAACGTATGTCATTAATCCGTTGGTTTAAATGGTCGAGTCTACTAACAAGTATTATGTCTGCCTCTCGGGGTGGTGTATTTCTCGTGGTATTGTGCTCAACTATCTAAACTATAACATGAATGAGATTTTTAAGGTCTCATGTTTCAAAATTAAGACACTATTTTCAAAATGAAAATTATTTACATATTTAAATCATAAATTCATTCCCGAAAGAAAATCGACCGATAATTTTTATCAGAACAAAAAACTATCAATTTTATATTTACCTGTAAATGATTGGGTATGAGATTGACACATGATTGAATTAGAACCTTGTCTAGTCTACACTGCCTACAAAGTATCAATTTCATTAATTATATCAATTGAATTCACCCCTCAGTTGAAATTTTCTATCAAATTGATTATCAAAGTTTTGAACCTTTTTAACTCTGTTCTGCTTATAGAGGATCATTTTTCAGAAATTGAGATGATTGAAATCATTTATTATATTATAGACCATGTCAACTCTGCCCCGTTCATAGAGGATTAGATCTATGATTTGATCTCATTTATTCATTTTTTGGAAAGTACAATAATATTGAAGATATCTGCTTGAGATAATTTATTGATCAAAAGCTTGATAATTTCATATAGATATAGTGATAAATTATCAGCCATTTCGTATATAAGACCAATATTCAGTTATTAGTCTGTCTTATCAGTTTCAATCTCTACACGGAGAAGGATCAGACTAAGTGATACTTAGTCTCGTCAACTCTAGTTCTTATTAGGGGGAACATTGGATTGGGCCAGTGTGATTTACGACATTGTCTTATAGATAAGACAACCCGATCAGGAGCATGCACAATTTGATATTTAGATTTAATTTTGAGAAGAGATTGCTTTTGTAAAATTTGCATATTTGCATGCTTTTTAGAGCATAGGACAAATTGGCATTTTGAGATATTAACACACTTTTAAAATAATATATTTTAATATTCGATTCATTTTAAACCTGCACAACATATTCAAACCGTACGATCAATCCTTCAGCATCATGGTCGGAGCACTTACGGGTTTATTTGTAGTAATGAATGCATTTTGAGGTAGATGCATACTACTTTTTTCATAAATTTCAAAATAACATCTTCAAGTTTAAAAATAATTTTAGTTTTGAATTCATTTGAATTTGAGTATATGTGTGATTAATTTATCATTAAATTGCACGCAAATATTTCATTTAAGCTCAAATATCTTCTTTTGTTTGCTCGTACGGGGGGTTGCAGATCCGGTGGTGAATTATACACATTTTATATTCTTGATGGTTCTTTAAAAATATGACATTTATTTGTATTCAATTCATATTTTGTTAAATTTTAAATTTCAATAAAAGTTGATTCAAACTGAGTTCTCTCCCACCCCATTTTAAGTTTTATTTGAATTTCAATTGTCTTTTCAACCCGATATGATAGTTTGAATATTCATTAGAGAGTCTTGCACGTGCTTGTTGGCGGGCTATGCAATTTATTGCAGGTCTTATTTATGCTTATTACTGAGTGACTGAGATTATTGCAGTTGCATTCGTGCTCGTTAACAAGCTATTGAGTCACCTGTAGCTTATGCTTAATATTTAAATTTGATTTTCATATTTTCACATAAACTCCTCTTTTTTATTATGATTTTGCAATTTGTCTTTAAATAAAATTGAGTTCTTTTATATTTTGATTAATTTGACTTCTCTTCTTTTATTTTATTTCAGTCTACTTTTCAATCAAAATTTTGGTAGTGTTCAGGAAACCTTTCCTCAGTTGGGGAGGTAATTAGCTAGAATAATGTCTCCACCTATCTAAAAAGATGTGTATGGGTAGTGTTAAACACCAGGGCTATGTATTTTAACCTACCCGTCCGCGTATAGGCCTTCGAGTACCTGTATGAATGACCAAAACAGATCTCTTCGTCGAGTTAGAACAACCTGAACGGGTACTTAGTTTCCATGTGTGTCTTCTAACCTACCTGCCTAAAAAATGCGTATAGGTCTTCAGGTACTTGCGTAAGTATCCAAAATTGATTTCCTCGCTGAGTTGGAACAACCTGAATGGGTACTTAAATGTGCCCCTTATTATAACTTATGTGAGGCGAGGAACTCGTGGCAGCAAGACGACAAATTGTTTGGAAGTCGGGTGATGGTTTGGTGATTTTTCGAGTTGAGAGAAGTAATCGCCGGTTTGTGGTGGAGACCCGATTGGGGTGAGCGTTGTGGATCCACAAAGGTAAGCAGTGGTATGGGGATATGCAAAGGGAAGCAACGGTCATTTGTGATGGGATAAGACAGTAGGATTTTTTGTTGGCTTTGAATGTAAAATAGGTCACGAGCCGGTCGCTGTTTGGGTGAAAGCTTGCCGGTGGGAAGAGGAGGTTGGGTATTGAAGGTGAAGATAGGTGTAGGAAGTCAATGGGTTTGCTGCATAAGGTAGGCATGAGGGGAATTGAAAGTAACATCATAATTTATACTAAAATTAATTTTAGCTATACCCATTAATCAAAGTACACTTGAGAGACTTCAAATTAAGTAAACCCTTGGACCTTGCATCAACATGAACATATACAAAATAATTAAATATCTTTAGGTGAGATGGATTTATCCATTTGTCACTCCAAACTTCTTTAGACAAGCCTTCCTTCAAAGGTACTGACAGATGACAATTGGTCAAATAAACATTAGTGTCCACTGGTTCTGCCTGAAATTGCTCATCAAGCTGGATGGAATCTCATACTGCTGGCACACTTTATGATGGTTTTATTCATGCGTTCAACCACATCATTTCGACACAATTTTGTTGTGTGTCTTGGAGTGAAGCCATGTATGATCCCCTCTGCTGCTCAACACCTCTTGAACCTCTAATTATGACACTCGCCACCATTATCTGAAAACTACAGATTTACTCAATTCAAAACTAAAATCACACCACTGAAAAACACACCAATTCGAGAGATCCAGAACAATAACAAAAACACAAAACAAAGAATTAAAAAAAAAAACATACAGAGATTTAACATGGAAAAACTAGAGAAGTAAAAAACTACTGAGTCACACCTACCAAAAATTTCTCATGAAGGTGAATGGTACAAAATTACACCACTCTTATCCAATCTCTACATCACTAGAACTTGCAATAATTCACACTCATTCCTCTCTTGATCTGATAGGAGAAAACACTTGCCAAAATCCACCCTCTGCACAGACGTCACTCTGCACCTTTTAAGTACAGTTGAGGAATACACTGCGAGAGTATTTGATTCTTTGTGAAACAAGATCTTAAATCCTTAACTGCTTACAAATTGCTCTTGGCATTATAGCTCCACTTCTGGGTGTTCTCTTTCCTCTCACTTGGGTTAAACTGCAGGAAGACTAGCGCCTATGTACCCTTCTATGGCGCTTGAATTCCAATCGCTTTGTTTCTGGACCTGAAACTAGCAAAAACGTGACGCAGACTCCCTGCAGTGGATGCCTGGGCGCCCTACTGTGTGCCCGAGCGCCACTTTGGGGTGCAGTGACGCTCAGTCTTCTGGATTGGAGCGCTGGGCCGCCCCCTTGGGCGTTTGGTTGCTCCCATGAAGTGCATGGGTGCTCCTTTGGGGGCGCTTGAATGCCTTCGTAGGAACTAGAAAGCTCTGGAGCCTGCTTTTGCAATGCAAACAGGCTCCATGCTCAACACTATGTTCTTTCCCTCCGTCGACCTACAGTTGCCACTGCAATTTGTACAGGGATTTTCTTTCAACATGTTTCCATTGCAATACAGGTTTAACACTTTGAATAACCTGAAATATGCTAGCTTATTCACGTTCATCAATGTTCGCTAGTTCTATGTTTCTAACCGTATTAAATATCTCTTATCCAGCTAACTTTCATTTCATGTTCTCAACAATGAACATTCTATGTTTTCTCCTCTCTTAATTGCTAGTTATCCGTTAAAAAACGCTTATGGACTTCCTACTAGCCATCTTATTAATTTTTCACAGAATCGACTATTATTTTTTATGGTACTTTGACTGTGGTAGAATTCATCCTTCTAATTTTTGCCATTTTTTTTTGGTTTCTTGTTTCCCACAACCTTGTTCATGTTGTTTGATGTTTTTGTTTGCAGGCTGGAGCTATGCTTGGGGATGCTTTTCTTCATCAATTACCACATGCCTTTGGTAATAAATGGAAATAAACTTAATTTTTATGCATTTTTAAACTTAATAAAATTTTCAAAGTCTTAACTATAAATTTAATTCTCCAAGTCCTTTGATAGCATTTTTTTCTTAAAATTTAATATTATTGAAAAATAATTTAAAGAACTTAAGTCTGTCATGCCAAATCATAAATAACAAATACAAAGTAACCCAATCATTGCTTAAATTTCTATTTTCATTGATATTCTTATGAGTCATAATTTCTTAGTTCTTTATATGAATAATTGATTTTTAATGATTTTAATTGATTAAAAATTATAAAATTCTTTAGTTTAATTTTTTCAAATGAGCATAAAATAGATTTTCTTTCCTAAATATAATATAAATAATGAAAATATGATAAATTTTAACAGTTGAATTTTTAGGAGTCTAGAAAAGACTTAAATGCTTAATATTCAATCACTTTTTCATCTTTTTTTTTTCTTTCATCTTTCATCTTTTTTATTTTTTTATTCGTTTTTTATTCTCTTTTTTTCATTTTACTTTTCAAACTCTAGGGATCATCTTTATTGACTAAGAGTTTTTCACTTTAATTTAAAATCTAATATATTTCTCTTGTTCAATTGAATAAATCATTCTTTAAATTTAATTTTATTACCTGCACTATAGTTTTGTCTATAGTAATTCTTTACTACATTGTCTAAATTGATTAATCGTTGGGATCATATATTATTCTAATCAATTTAATTCTTTTTGACTCACTTGTGTGCTGTGTTTTATGAGAAAATCATATTTTTTGGATTACCGAGTTCAATAAAAAGCTTAGTGATGATTTTAAAGTTAACTTCAGTATTTATATATTTAATAATTTTTTAATGAAAGTTAAATATTTTTTCATTTATTATTTTAATTCTTTTAAATTTTTGAAAGTATTTTGCTAATCAAAGGTACTTAAATTGTAAATCTAAGTTTTGATTACTCTATAGACAAAGTTATAGGAGTTTGTCTAGGAAAAATCAACACAAGAATTAGAAAGGACCAACATTGTTGCACTACTAAGCTCACATCACAGTACAAACATTTGAGTTAATATTCAATGATGTAAAATTAAATTTTGAAAAAAAATGAAAAACATAAATGTACAATTCACAAAAAAAAAAAAAAAAACACCCAACTTATTTTTAAGCAAACAATAATTATAGTGCTTGATTTTGTGTTTATTATGCCACATTTCATACCCGTGCAATTTTGATGTTCTAAATGAATGGTGGTTTTATATTTTGTCAACATATATTCTTTTGATAATAATAAAAAAATGAAAATGATTGCAAATTAACCTTTTTATTACTATGAATATTATGGATGGATTGGAGGGTTAAATCCCATAACGATCACTAGATTATTCGTATATGGCCAATTTATTCCCTCAGTTATGCACAATTCATCCAAAATGGTCTCTTGAGAAATAAGTTGTGATCATTTCTTTATAGTGGAGTGACTAATTTGGGATCAATATTCTATATTCGAGGGAAATAAATTTTGTATCCCAATTTTTATATGAAATATCGTTTTGGATCAATTTTGTATAGCCAAGAGACTAAATTGGAGAATGTGATTTTTTGTGACTAAATTATCCACATGCAAATTGTCAGGGACCATTTTGAGATTTAATCGATGGATTGGAGCTAGTTCTAATGAGAAGAGTAGCCGGCTTTTGATGATAACTGTAATTGATTGACAAGTTGTGAAAATTTTAGATGATTTTGTTAGGATCAAAGGAAATTTAAAGAGTAAGAATAAACCCACCCTCATACATTATCAAGGGAATTTGAAAAAAAAATATTAAATTGCTCTCCATGTAAATGTGAATTAAAAGTTTCTTAACAAGTTACTTTGTAAACTATAAAACTTGAATTTGGGGGATATAAACTTTCCAGCCTTTCTTGCATTACTGAAAGTGTAGCACCATCGTAGCAAGTTTCATTACGTTTTTCTTGGTGTCTAATATTACTTTGGCTTTTTCTAAGCCTTGATGTCCATTTATTTGAAATTTGATGCTCACAAGTCCTAGTTGCTCAATTCAGTTTTTTTGGGAACATCTTAGCTGCTGAAATTAATACCAATTCTTCCAGGTGGCAAACATTCTCACTCACATGATGACCATATTGGCAGTTTTGGCGAGGCTGATTTTGCACATGGACATTCACATGCTCATTCACTTGAAGACCTTTCAGTTGGGTTGTCAATGCTGTGTGAGTTTATTTCAACTTTCATATGATATATAGCAGCTCAAGAAATTTATTGAAGTAGGACTCGATGGAAAATTTTAATGTTGTTATATAGTTTGGAAACTTTTGATAGATTGCAACAAAATTTCAAATTATAGTGCTCATTTATATAGTCTTGTATGGATGCAAAAACCTATCTTGACTACAGAAAATTGATTAGTCTATTGAAGGTTTACATTTGGTCAGGTAAGACTGGAGGCTATTGGAAGGTTTAGGGTGACGGGATTGTGCTATAATGCTGACTATCTCTTGTTCATTTGTTTTTCAAAAATTTTATTCGATTAATGGTGCGCACACTGGCTTGACACCGGAGGAATGGATTGGCTAAAAGCTCTAGTATTTTATTGATTGACTGCCATGTAGGCATCTGATAACCATAAGAGACTAGATGATATTTTTAAATATTCTTCCTTTTATTGCAATATAAATTTTTTAAAAAACTCCAATCAGATCTGTCAACTGTCTTTTTTGCAGCTGTTTGTCGAGATTTAATCAGTAATTTATCTTGGTGAAGGTTTGAACTTAGAAGGAATGTCATGTCCTTTGGCTTTTTTGCATCATCGACTTGTTTATAAATTTATGCATGAATTTTACAATTTTCAAAAGGTGCATGGAGTCTCTTGGTCTTTGCATGTTTTTGTGAACGATGTTTGACAATCTTTACTTTTACTTTAAAGCACTTTTAAAGCTTTAAGCACTTTTAAAGCCTTGCATGCAATTTGTAACAACTTTTGTACCGTTAGCTAATTTTTTTTTGCTAAGAAATGGGCATCATGTAATTGATTCCTCATTTGAGAAATAAATATTGTATTTGTACAAAAAAGTTTAGTGATCTGCTTAGAAGACCCAATTTTCCCTCTTGTTATGTATGTAGAAAGCCTATGGGGCAATGTTTTGCTGACTAATGCAGTCCTTTGATGAAATTAGTTACTATTTGCAAGTTGCAACAGCTATGATGATGAAATTGTAATAGTTGGGAAGTGCTAGATTAGAAAGATGTTATAGGAAGAAAGTTCTGGATTGGAAGGCCGGTCTACAATTTTAATATATGTTTATAAATGTGGATATTATCCTTTGTCTTTTCTTTTTAGATTTTTCTTATTTTTCTACATGTAAGTCAAGCAATCATGAATAAAAATAATGCGTTTTCTTTCATTTATGGCTCAAAGCTCGGTTAGACATTTTGGCCTAAACATTGCCTTTCCCATCTTCTTTCTTCTCATTCTCACTCTCTCTCTCTCTCTCTCTCTCCCCTCTCCTCTCCTCTCCTTACTTTTCTTCCATGCCAATCTTGCTTCTCCTAGGTGTAACATTCTTACTTGTAGCTCTTGTTTGTTTGCTAGCTTTATGCGCTCGCTTCCTCACCTCACATATTCACCCACTTGCTTCATGCCTCACTTAGATACTTGTTTGCTCACATTATGTGCTTTTCTACACATATACTCTCTCATGTCTTGCACCCACCAATGCACTTGTTTGTGTTATGGGGTCGCCAACACACTAAATTATGCACTCTTTTACCTCTCTCATGAGTCATGAGTTAGCCAGGTTCTCACATTTTTGTGCTTGCATGTTCGCTTGTGCACGTAGTGCACTGACTCACACTCACTAATTTGAATCTATATGTTGCGTTCATCTTGATTTATAATTGATTAAATCTTTATCATACTCTTTTCATTTCTCTTAGAGGTGTTTCATGATGTCTTCTTCTACTTTTTCAAAGAAAAAACTCATCATCCACTATTTGTATATTTATTCAGTTCATTGATTCCAACTATCTTCAATGATCTCATTTCTTCTATTTTGTCATGGGATCTCTTAAGTAACTTAGTCATTTGTTTACTTGCCTTTTGAACTTATGAACGCTATCAAATACGGCGAATGACACGTTTTTGACTATTTTGTTCTCAAATGGCTGCTCAACAGTCTCAAACCGATAATTTCTTTTACCATCATTTTCTTGGGTGCATGACAAAAGGTTGTGGTATTTTTTCATCCCATACTTACAGGACAATAACATCTTTAGGGCATACACCATCTAGGGCATACACCATCTACTTTGACACCCTCTTTGGAATAGGGAGACAAATCTATTCGAGAGTACTACAACACTTTGATACGCAAATGATTTAAAATTGTTTAATATTTTCTCTTTATCATTGATTTGACTTCAAAAAAAAAAAAAAAAAAAAGACTAAAATGAGGATTTTCTTGTTTCCAAGTTTCTCATTGGTTTCCTTTCAGCCCTTTAATTTATTCAAGCTTAGTTAATTTCCAACTCTACTATGCTAAACATCTCATCAATTCTCCGGGGAACCAAGTTACGTACTCTGCTTTCTTTTGATCACAATTAGACTGGTTTTTTTGTAGGAACAAGAATAGTCGTGACATTTGTTGATGATGTCGTCATGGTGATGGCCATGGCCATGATCACAACTCTTTTCCTTGTAAACATTGCCAATAGACTTATCACTCATTTGATCGGACATCTTGAACGAAAAGAATTGGGAGTCGGAAGAACGAGAGCGACGCAAAAAAGATGAAGCCCCTCCGAGACCTCTACCCCTCTGAGATCTCGCGTGCTCTAGCTCGATCGCTCTTCTCTGCTCTACGCGTTCTGTGTTTCTCCTTGCCTCGCCTCCCACGCGCGCAATCCTCTGCCCTAGCCCGATCTCGCTGTTTCTTTGCCCTGTTGCTGCAGCGCCAACCGTTTCATTTCGCTGGCTCTTGTTCATTTCCTTTGTTTTGTGCCTGATTTCTAGCCGATTTCTTTTGTCCATTTTCCTTTCAGATCTGTTTCGCTTTTTCATTTTTTCTTTGGTGTTGTTGTTTGCTTTGGTTCTTTATGATGGTTTTTCCCTTGTTTTATTCTCTACGTTGGGAGCTTTCTTTTCTCGGTTTCTCCTAACTAGGCTTTTCTTTTTTCTTTAGTTTTGGCTTGTTTCTTTCTATCCTGCTTTTTTCCATGGCTTATGCAGCGCCGTCCTTCAAAGATGTGGTTTCAGTTAAATCTTTTGGGTTTGGAGAAGTTCGTTTCTCTGAGGAGTTCCAACATCAAATAAAGGATAGTCATAACAGAGGTTTGCTTCAACAAGCCTCTCGCAAGAATGGTAAACCTGCGCTTCTTTTTACTGAAGAAGATACAAACATTCTCACTGAACCACTAAAGTATACTTTAATTGGTAAATTTTCATTTACTCATCCCAAAGTGGAGGTTATTCGTAAGTTCTTTTCGGATTTGCATCTGGTTGGAGGATGAAATTTAGGGTTAATCGATAGCCGTAACTTAATGATTAAGTTGTAGCTCGAAGAGAATTATACCTCTCTATTTGCTAAGAAAATCTTGACCTTTGAGAAATGTTACTTGAAACTTCTTAAATGGACACCTGATTTTAATCCTACCAAAGAGATCCCTATTGTGCCTGTTTGGATTCGCTTTCCCGGACTGAAGCTACATTACTTCAATCCGAAAGTTTTTTATTCCTTGGGATCAATTTTTGGTAAGCCATTGAAAATGGATTTTGCTACTTGTAATTTGTCTAGGCCTTGGATGGCTAGAGTGTTGGTTGAACGTGATGTTACTTCGGTTTTCCACGATTCTATTTAGATGGGGAATTCTAATGATGGTTACTGGCAGAAGGCTGAACAAGAATTTGTACCACATGATTGCACTAATTGCAAAATATTTGGTCATCTTCTTTCTCATTGTTATAATGCCCATCTTGAATTGCGGAAAAATAAAAATAATCATAAAGAGATGAATAAAGAGTTGCATTCTGATTTGAAAATCACTAAGGCTAATCTTTATGGAGACGGTTCTTTGCATTCTTTAGATGATCAATTTAATTCTTCTATGAATGAGCATAATAATATAGGTACTATATTGGTTGATAATGATTTGATTACTGAAACTTCTAATGCTATTCATTGTACCTCTGCTATTATGACTGATTTGGTCAAAAATGATAATATTGATACTACTGTTATGGTTCAAGATACGGATAAGGTCAGTACCCCTGAAATCTTGGAATTAGATAGATAGATGGTTCTGCATGATGGATTGGCTACTCTGGATTGCCCTGCTCTTACTCGAAATGAGCTGGAGGAGGATTGTATGATTCAAAGATCATCTCGGAAAAGAAAATTTAAAGGTGTTCGTGAATTACATTATATGAATCCGAAGGCTGTTCAAACCCAAGTGTAGGGTAAGAATGTTGCTAAGCCTTCTATGACTATTATTACTAGACTAAATAAGGGTAAGCTTGTTATTGATGAAGTTTAACACTTTAATCTGGAACATTAGGGGTATTGCCAAAGTGTGTGCTTCTAATAAACTTAAAAATTTAATTCATGTTTATAATTTAAGATTTTTGGGTGTTCTTGAGCCTATTGTTGCAGGCATGAATAATGAGGCTTATGTCAGACGTATTGGAGCTTTTAATTATATTGCTAACTCTAATAATAAGATTTGGTTCTTATGGAAAGAACCAATGAGTATTGAGATTCTTATTAATCACACTCAATTATTACATTTGAGAATTCTTTATCTTAATGAGTCTTTTCTTTTTTTCTATTATTTATGCTGGATGTACTAAGCAGGCTTATTTGGACCTTTGGGATTTGATTAAATTTATTAAGCAGGAGAATGAAGCTTGGCTTATGGAAGGGGATTTCAACATTATTTCTTCTCCTCTTGAGAAGAAAGGTGGAAATCCTCCGAATCTCAATCTAATTTCTAATTTCAATGATACCTTGCTGGATGCTGGGCTTTATGATATGGGGTTCCATGTGAAAGGTTTTTGAACGTCTTGATAGATTTGTTGCTAATCCTTCTTGGATTAATATTTTTTCTCTTTTTAAAGCTCAGTATTTGGCCATTAATGCTTCTGATCATGCTCCTTTACTTTTTAAAATCATGGACAACAATAATATAAAGCAGTATAATTTTAAATTTTATAATATATGGACCCTTCATGACAAATATACTTAGTTTCTTATAGATAATTGAAAATCTAATGCTATTGGTTCTTCTGGGTATAGACTTTGGAGCTTACATAAGAATTTAGCTAAAGCTCTTAGAAAATGAAATTGGGAGGTCTTTGGGAACTTGCACCGCAACATTGAGCAGCTTGAAGATAAGGTTGCTTCTCTTGAATTTGATTTTGCTAGCAATTCTATAGAATGGGATGTTTTGTTTCAGGGGAACAACAACTTAATGAGGCTATTGATATGGAGGAGCAGTTTTATGCTGAGAAAGCTGCTAAGACCTATTTTTTGGATGGGGACAGAAACACTACTTACTACCATGCTTGCATTAAGAATAGACATAAGGTTAATATGATTTCTAAAATCATTAGCCCTGATGGTACGGTGCTCAATAATATCAATGATATTGCTCAAAGTGGTTTTCAATTCTTTTCCAATATCTTTAGTAATAATGATGTTTATTTGACTCAGCTGGATATTTCTCTTTATAATTATGTTCCTTTATTTGATAACTCCTTACTCATATTCCTAGTCATGCAGAGATTAAAAATATCATTGATCAGATGGAGGTTGGCAAAGAGGCTGACCCTGATGGTTTCACGGTTGAATTCTATAAACATGGTTGGAATATTATTCAGGCTGATGTTGTATTGTTTATTCAAGATTTTTTTCGTGGTCATGATTTGCCTAAGTATTTTAAATCCTCTAATATTGTCTTGATCCCTAAAGTTAACAACGCTAACTCTTGGGATGCTTTCAGATACCCATAAGCTTGAATACTATTTTATCTAAGATTATTTCTAAAATTATTGTTAAGAGATTGCAACCTATTTTAAATAAACTTTTCTGTCTGAACCAGTCTGCTTTTTTGAAAGACAGACAGATAAGTGATAATGGCCTTATTGTGCAAGAGCTCCTTATAGATATTGATAAGGAGTGCAAAGGAGGGAATATTATTCTTAAAATGGATATTAAGAAAGCTTTTGATGCTATACGTTGGGATTTTATTATGAATATTCTTCGTGCTAATGGCTTTAATGATACTTTTTGCAATCTTATTTTTCGTACTCTTAGCAACAACTATTATTTCCTTCTTATTAATGGGAACAAATGTGGTTTCTTCAAAGCTTATTAATGTATAAAATAGGGAGATCCCCTATCTCCTTATCTTTTTATTCTTGCGTTTGATTATTTATCGAGATGTTTAAATGCTTTGTTTAAGATCTATCCTAGTGTGAATTATATTCATAAAGGTGGTATGAGTATTTCTCATTTAAGTTTTGCTGATGATCTTATGATCTTTACTAATGGTAATAAATTTTCGATTAGGAAAGTTTGGGCTGCTCTTGTTGATTTTCAGAAGGTTTCTGATTTAAATTTTAATACTTCTAAATGTTTCTTTTATTGTTCCAAGAGAATCTCTATTGCTTGGATTTTGGATTATACTGGTTGCAATAAAGCTGTGCTGCCTTTGAACTATTTGGGTTTCACTTTTAATAAAGGCAAAATGAGAAGTAGCCTTTGTTTAAATTTGTTTCATAAAATCAGACATAAGATTTTATCTTGGGAAAATAAATTTCTTTCTTTTGGAGGCCGTGTCACTCTTCTCAAAAGTGTTCTTACGTCTCTTTCTCTTTATTCTTTGCAAATTATGGATATTCCCCAGGGTATTATTAAAAAGATTGAAAATCTCTTTAATAAATTTCTTTGGGAAGGTAATGGTAATACTAAGATGCACTGGACTAAATGGCAGAAGCTTTGTAAACCCATTGAGAAGGGTGGTCTTGGTTTTCGTAGCTTAGCTGATTCTATTAAGATTAATTATATGAAGCTTTGGTATAGATTTCGTAAAAATAATTCTGTTTGGGCTATGCTAAATATAGTTTGAATAGACATCCTTTTTCTATTACTTACAATAAGAAATATTCTTTTATTTGGTGTGAAATGCTTAAAGTTGTCAGAATTACTAATGATCTTATTTGTTGGGATATTGGTAAAGGTGATTGTTCTTTTTGGTTTGATGATTGAATGGGGAAGGGGGCTTTAGTTGATTCTTATGGTGGTCCTGTTGCTATTGATATTAAAGTCAAAGATCTTTGGTATGAGAATCGTTGGTGTTTTAATTAGCTTAATAGGATGGTTCATAATGATGATGCTATTTTTATATCTTCTATCCCTTTTAACAGTGGTAACATTGATGTACCTAAGATCAAAGGTAAAATGGGTGATTCTGTTGCTAAAAGCCTGGCTAACTCTTTTCAGGACTTTTAGGGTTTGGATCTTCGCTGGATTTGGAATCATGGGTCAAATCTTCCATATCTTTCTTTGTTTAGAGAGTTTTGCATAATTTTTTACCTACTGATGATTTGCTTAAGTTGAAGGGGTTATGTCTTCCTTCTTGCTGTGTTATCTGTAGGAATCATGAGGAGACTAGTATTCACCTTTTTTTCTAGCTGTATATTTACCGTGGAAATTTGGAATCGGGTTACTATGAAATTAAAATTACCGAATTTCTTTTCTCAGTATGCTAGTATTTCTAATATTTTACATTCCTGGAGACATAAAGACAATGGTTTATTTGCTGCTATCCCTGCTGTTATTATATGGTTTATTTGGCTTACTCGTAATGATATTTAGAAATGGTGAGGCTAATATTCTTCACACGGTTGGCAAGATTTTATCTTTTCTTATGAAAGGAATCAAATTTTTGACCCCTAATAAGAAGATTACGAGTAATATGGCTTGTATGATGCATAATTTGTCTATTCTTGTTTGCTCCTCTAATAAGAATATTACCTTGTTGCATTGGTGTAAACCTTGTGCACCTTATATTAAGATTAATATTGATGGTTGCTGGAAGGCTAATAGTGCTAGTGTGGGGGGTGTTTGTTGTGACTCTATGGGTTCTATTCTCTATTGGTTTGCGGCTAAGGCTGTTCCTGTATCTTCTCTGGTTGCAGAAGCTGATGCGATGGTTTTTGGTCTTCAGGTGGCTAAGAAAATTGGATGGATATTTATTGTTTTTAAAACTGATTCTTTAATTTTATAGAAGTATTGCAGATTTCAGGATGAACATCATTGGAGTGTTAATCTGCAGATGAAAAGAATTAAGGATTTGTCCAAGAACTTACATATCATATGGAATCATACTAAAAGAGAAGGGAACTTGGTGGCTCATTGGGCAGCTAAACTTGGATTTAATTTGAATTTTGCTGTGATTTCCAAAAC